GCCCAGGGGCACCAGGCCATTACCTTCAGTGTCAAGGTCCATCAACTCCTGCTTCATTTGCTGACACTCCGTATTTTGCCACTTGCCGTAGCCATGCGCCATTGCCTCCACAATGCTGACAGCATCTCCAAAGTCAAACATCTCCACAGGCATGAACGGATTTCGTGTATCCCTGTTAGCGTAGAGGTGGTTGTGCATAGAGTCCCGCTCAAACTCAACGAGCAGAGGCCAATTGCTGGAGACTTCCGCTGCACGAGCTTTGAGAGCCCGGTGGAGCTCTGTGTTGTTGAGATCTGCCTTCTGGCCCATTTCAAAGAGCACTAAATACGAAGCGAGTACTTCATGCATGGCTTGCTCATCCAGCTGCTCCTCCGGCATCATGGAATTAAGCTTGTAAGCCGCGTGTAGCAGGATTACGGACTCATCAAAGATGAGGCGCTCGAGGGTGGCCACCATGGCCACGGCGTCCTGGAGCGCGAGGCCTCGGCCTGCGCGCTGGGATTCGAGGAGGGACTCCACAAGGGCCGGGGCCTTGTCCTGAAGAATGTTCACCTCGTGGACCTCCGAGACATCGGTTTGGTGGCCATGCGGCTCCAGGCCTTTGATGAGCCAGCCGTGCTCCTTGGCAAAGTAGTTATGCACCAAATACCTCACCGCCCGTGGGCCGATGTGGCCGAACTCATTCTTTGGGAGGGCCTGGTACGTCTGCCAGATGCTCCCCTCGATCTTCTCCAGCCCGGACCGGGCGCCACGGGCACCGCCACGCAGCACCTCCTGCATGGAGTCCTGCAAAGACTGCCGCACCTCCTCCACCGCCAGCATATGACTGCCGCGAATGCTTGAAGGCGATGATGCTGCCCCTGAAGCAGCCATGAACAGGAACATCGTCGACATGAAGGTTGCCTTGGCAGTTGAGCAACCAAAGGGGACAGCATGAAACCTCCGTCCATGAACCCTCTTCCTCACTCTGATTGCAGCCAAGGGGCCATCCCGGGCAAAGTATGTAAAGAAGTAGAGCTTGCGGAAGTCTCAAGGAGACAACCGATGTTTCTTACAGATTTGCACAAGCACTTTGAGCCAAAGCCAATGGGCGCTGGGTCGTTCACACAAGGTCTTCAAGGTGTTGCGGCACTACCATCGTCAATCAACATGGCTCCCAATTTGGACGTGTCCAAGCCACTCTTCATGCCGGATCATGCCGTGATGAGTTCCTTTTGCGCCTTGAAAACTCACTCTTGGAGCACTCTCGGGCTTCGCCAAGGCTTGTGACACGGCCTTGACTCCCTGACTCACAACGGCAGCTGTGCGGCGCGGATTCGGAGCTTGCTAATGCCTTCCAGCGGCAAGGGCTGCTGTAGGGCATCAGGAACGTGAAAGCTCTTGGGCTACTAGCGATGCCATGAACTCTTGGGTACTAAGTGCCGACTCTCAAGACAACATTTTGTCTTGACTCAAGTACCCCCAATGTAAGGAGAGGGGCTTTCAGACAAATGCTCCAGCCATCTTCTTATGACAATTTCAAACTTGCACGGAACTGTATGCATCCGGAGGATTTGCAAAAAACTACATTACGTCCTCGCCGTACGGATCATAATTCCGGGTGGGAACTCAAACTTGAGAAATGCCTTTCAAAGCATGGGACCTTGACCGGGAAGCAGCGCCATTGCTCCCAGAGCTCCCCGAAGCAGGGCAGCCAGCATCCCGAGCTGAGCCAAGATGCGAAGGCCTCAAAAAAGACAAGACGGTGCCACTTTCCCACAATGGCCCCTCAAGAACACTGCAAATCATTTTGCGCCCATTGAATTCATAATGTGACAATTAATGTGACAATACAGCTCTCCGTAGCACTGTAGCGCTTTTGTTGCAAATAGCTATGTTCTGTGGATGTTCTGGGGGCCATCATTAGGAGGCACTAGGGTCTCACGTGATGCTTCTGCTGCCTTCCATTGCAACTGTCTTACTTTGCAGACTGAGAGCCCTGAACCGTGCTCCAAACCGAACCAGCACTCTCAAATTGCAAGGTGTTTATGCCAGCAGAGCGTCTGCTGGAAGGCTTCCGGGCTGGAGAATCGTGCGCAGCAAGAACCTGGAGGCAGCGCAATTCAACAACCACAGGGGCGGAACTGGTTTTGATGAGTCCATGGGGGCCATTTCTATGGTCAATGACATTTGATATGATTATGATGATAATGAGACGACTATTCTACCATTGACCCCCAACTCATTTGGCTCCACACAACCTAAGATACCTAAGAGGATCCCTGAAGGTCAGTTGAGATGATAGGTGATCAACAGTGTATCCTGCATGTTTGGGACTCCCAAGAAAATCTACTGAAACTACTGTACGGTTCACAACCATTCACGTGAGCATTGCTGGGATTAATTCGGCAGCAGGCCTCTGTCTCATTCCAAGTAAGCAACTCCCCGTCTTCCTCGACAACCTGCGAACACTGCACCGCAATGCAAACCTGTCTGTGCCATGTCCAAAAAAGGGCGCTGGTCGTGCCTGCACGGTATGGACCTCGGCCAGCTGCTCGCGCTCTGCTTTGGACACCACAGTCTTCTTACCTTGCCTTGGATGGAATTTGATGGGGGACATCTTAGCGTTTTTCTCCATAGGCTTGTCATGAGGATTATTGTGTTGACCCAACAGAGTAAGCTGGCCAAAAGCTGTAGCATGCAGCAGACAATGTGCCAGTGTCTGGGTGTCAACACGGAGGCATCCTC